CCAGGTCACGCCTCCAGCCTGCTCCTGTCCCCTGAAAGTCTCCAGACTGGTAAACAGCATGCCACCAATCCAGGGAGCCTCAGAGAAAGTGGCCTCCTTGACCCTGGAGCCTATGTGTATGAGGAGTTCCAAGGGGCTGCCATTCTGGCAGACGTTTGACTCTGCAGGTGGCCAAAGAGCTTGTTTCTTGGAGGAAATGACCACAGAGTTTAGTCTAAGACTGGTTGCAAACAGAATAGGAAGGAGGTGGGCTCCTGCTCATCCATTTATCTGCTAACCGCACTTTGATCTAGCCCATGCTACAGATTCAGACAGGAATCAGTCATCCATCATTGTCTCCTAGGGGGTCCACAGGAGCCCCTAGGAAAGACCCGCTGTCTTCCTGTCTCACGTGCTCAGGCCTCTTCAGAGACCTGAAATGCAGTGGAAAAGCCCTAGAGGGTAAAGCTTATTAGGCTGGAACCTGAACAAGAGCCCTCAGAGGTAGGTCTTTTCCCCAAAGTGGGAATCGGGTCTTGCTCGGAGCCCCAGGCACCCTGCCAGGTGCTTGGGATCTTCCCAGGGGCTAAGCAGAGGTCAGCCTCAGCCACAGCAAGGCTCCAGGTGGTTCCCAAGAACAAGGAAACCAGGAGTGAAAAAGCCTCTGTCCTGAGACAAGAGAGTGAAGTGGCCCACGGCTTTCCAGGCTGATCACCCAGGCTTCACATGATGGCATCAAGCCCTGGTGACAGCTTGAGGTGTCTGTTCTAGGTCCACCTTGGTTTCATCTTGGCAGGGAAGAGACTCCAGAACAGATCAGGAAGGAAGGCACAGGGTGTTAGGAAAAGAAGCCTTGGCAATCAGATCATTTCAGAAAGAGAAATGGGGTCTGAGGATATAGTCCAGTGGTAGAACTCTTACCTAGCACATATGAAGACAACTGTCAGCATAGAGAAAGAGACAGACAGACGGAGGAGGAGAGAGGAGGAAGAGGAGGAGGGAGAGAGGGAGAGGGAAAGAGGGCGAGAGGGGAGGGGAGAGAGAGGGAAGGGAGAGAGAGAGAGAGAGAGAGAGAGAGAGAGAGAGAGAGAGAGAATGCCCAGTCATGCCTTGTGGCAAACAAACACCAGAACTTCTCTATGAGGAAGTGGGATTAACCAACCTAGCCAACCCTCCTAGGGGGTGGGGATGAGAAATATAACAAACAAAAAGAACCTGATATGAACAAACACTGGTAGGTACACGTGTGTAATGGGGGCACATCAGGGAGAAGCAGGCCCAGGCAGCCACATGGATTGCACACGCCCAAGTCCCAAAGACAGGCACTGGCAGCCCGGACAGGTAGAGACACACGCCGCCCAAGCCTAAAGGCTTATAGGTCAAGTTACACCAGAGGTGCATTTAAGACCTTAAATCCCTCCCCCAGTTCTGGGGCTTAGCACTTGCCAGAAATTTTAAGGTTGGTATTCAAACCTCCAGTTACTCATTCCGTTAGTAGACAGCGCTAGCCTAAAAGGTGGGGGAAAAAACTGAGGTTGGGTGGGTGCTTAGGAGAGAAATCTACAGATTTGGCAAATGAGCAGTTTCCTCTAGTCTCCCCCAGGTGTGTGCTAGGACGTGGTGTAGCTGGACTGAGCTCCTCCCCCAGGCCGTTGGTTCCTACCAGGAGCATCCCAGAGGGCAGAGTTGGCCTTTGCTTCCCTTGACCCCAAAGGCAAGCCTCCTCCTCCGCAGTGAAGTCTCTGGAAGGAAACTGAATCTTAACCAGGGGCGGAGGCGTTCCAAAGGGACCAGAACACTTTGTCCTGGAGGCGGGATTCACTGATAAGGATCCTAATTGGGAAGGCCAAACCCGAGGCTGACACCTGTGAAAGGGCAGCCCGTACTTCAGCTGGGAGCAAGCAGTGAGAAAAGGCCGAGACTGTGGCCAGCCCAGCGGACCAGGGCGGACCAGGGCATCTGCTTGTCTGAGCCTGGATGTAGGGTGGCCTGAGGACATTTGTCTCTGTCTGAGATCCTGTGTAGGAAAATGAGTCTGACCTGGATGAGACAGTGAACCTCTTTCCCACCTGGGATGGGCAGCTGGCTTCTAGAGTGGCTTGGTATTAAAGAGCCTGGCATGCTGGTGCACACCTGCCATCGCTGCACCTGGAAGGCTGAGCCAGGATTGCTGAAAGTTTGAAGCCGGCCTGGGCTACATAGTGAGTTAAGGCCAGCCTGGAATTCATAGTGAGCCCTTATTTCAAAAACAACCAAATAAATGAGAAGAAAAGAAGAATCAGAACTGGGCCTGGTGGTGTGTGCCTGTGGTCTCAGCACCCTGGAGGCCAGGGGCTGGGGGTGGGCTCTCAGAAACTCAAGCCCCACCTGGACAACTTTTTGAGACCTTGTCTCAGAATAAAAGAGCTGGGGATGTAGCTTAGTGTTCCTGAAGGCCCTGGGTGCAATTTCCAGTACCACAAGAAAGAAAGAAAGAAAGAAAGAAAGAAAGAAAGAAAGAAAGAAAGAAAGAAAGAAAGAAAGAAAGAGAAATTTAAATGGTGGGATTAAGTTAGAAACAGCCTTTCAAAAAACAAACAAACAAATTTGTGTATTAAACATGGAAGGAAAGAGGCAGGAAAGGGAGATGTCACAGAGAAAATCAGAAAACGTTTTGGAGGGTTCGGATAAGACTCATGCTGAGGTTTTGGAGGAAAAGGCTTTCAGCTGGGAGCAGCAAGAACAGAAGAAGCAGAGAGAAGAGAGCGCTTATGGGGGCCGAGGGGGCCTCTCCCGTTAGGGATCTCGCTGGACTCAGCCCAACCAGGGGAGGAGCGTGCGCGGAGGGTTGCTCTTCGCGTTTACAACAGTAGATGGTGGTGGGAAAGTTATGCGCTCGCAGACGTAGCTCTGGGAATTCCAAGTAGGAGAAGCCTCCAACACTCTGCAGTCACCCTCTCCCACCCAGAAGTTCTGAAGTGGGCAGCCCTTTGCCTGCTGCTTTCTGTCCTAAACCCCTTCCACACCTCCTCCAGGGGAGGCTTGGGGGACGCTCCGTGCTTCTGGAACGCCGGAGGAGAGCCTGGTTAGGCTGGCCCGAGGAGGGGGGACCCATTCCTCGTGATAATCTAGCGGTGACTCAGACTCCTGACTTCTGGCTCCCAAGTTGCTCTGCAGCCCACTTTCTAGTCCCAGGTATATGTTTTGACATTTTTGCTGTTGGGCTGATGCCGGGGACAGAACCCAGGGCCTCAGTGCGTGACCTTCTTATTGAACTACACCCTCGAGTCCTGGAGTACAGTGTCGGGTCTGATTTTCACTGCGGGGTGCAGGGCCTGCACCGTAGAGTTCAACAACAGGCCGCTTGGGGGGAAGAGAGAGGGGAAGCGTGAGAAGGCCACGTTCAGAGAGGAAGCAGAGGAGAGGGCTGGGGATCCCACGGCCATGCTGGAGGAGTGAAGCTGGAGTCCCTGCTGCCGGCACCCCCACCTCCTTCGAGCAGCGAAGACAAGGGAGCTTCCAGAGCTGGCTCCTCTTAAATATTTCCACCACCGGCATTGTTTTGGTAATGAATGTTCACAAGTGTAAACTGTTCCTCTAAAATGCAGAGCCCAAGGCTGTTCCTCATAGGCTGTTGTTCCAGGACTCCCGAGTTAACCACTCTTTAAGTTCTTTGATCAAAGCTGAGCTTCAGCGAGTGCTTAGGAGGCGAAGCCTGCAGACGTGGGCACGCAGGGCACGGCGGGCGGGCGGAATTGACTCACCGGCCGAAACCTTGTCACACACAGTCCCGGCCTGGCCTCGGCCAGCCGGCTCCTACCGCCAGCTCCCTTCCGCTAGGATGGGACAGAGTCCACGTTCGGCCGGCGCTTGCCCTCCGGCAGGCAGTGGGTAAAGGCTCGGAGGGGGCGGGAGAGAGATGCCACCCGGGCTGGGGTTCCTGGGTTCCCGTAACTGTCTAAAGCAGGAAGCGCGGGGAGTCGCTGTGCAGGGCCTCAGAAGGAGGCACACCTCTGCCCTGGGGGTCCGAGGCGAAGGTTCGCGACCGGATCTCAGGCGGAGGGGGACGCCCCAAGTCTTGCGCGCCTGGGGGCCCCACGCGGAGCTGCGAGCAGCTCGGGCTTTCAGATTTGAACTGCGGAGGCGGAGCGGCCCGGCCGAGGCTCGCGACGGCCATTGGCTGCTGCAGCGCCGAGACCTCGGGAGGGGTACGGAGGGGGACGGGAGGAGCCTGCGAGGGGAGTGTCGCCGGCTGCGGGCCCAGATCGCCCGAGGGCAGAGCGAGCCTCACGCTGCCCGCGCGGACATGGGCCGCGGGCCGGGCCGCCGCGCCGAGCCCACCGAGGAGAGCGCGCAGACGCGCAGAGGCCGCGTTCGGGACGCTGAGAGCTGAGGTAGGCGACCGCCACCCGCCCTGGCTGTGACAGCCGCGCGCGCCCCGCGAGGCCTGGGTGGGCGGAGAGCACCGGGAGAGCCCGGGTGGGGGCCGCCACGGGCCGGGGACAAGGGTGTGCACACCCCGGGTCCTCGGCGCCAGAGGTGGGGCTGGGCTAGCGTCCCTGAGGGGTGGTTCGGGTGCCGGGACCTGGAGCCACCGACCGTGTCCTAGGGCTGTGGCGTTTGGGGGAGTTGGTGTAAAAGAACGCGGGGCGCAAAGATCGATTTCACCTTCCCAGATTGAGACTCGCTGGTCTGGCCAAGGGCGCTGCTCGCTGGGGGCCGAGGCGGCGGGGATTAGTCCTTCCCCCCCCCCCCCGTTGCCCTGGAATGGGGCGTGTGTCGCGGCCGGGAGCACAACAGTCGGCAGCTCTCAGCCCGCGCAGCCCTCCAGAGGGGGTGTGTGTGCACCGAGGTCCCCGTGCATCGGAACCGAATGGTTCGCCGGGAGTGACAGGCGTGTACACACGCTGCAGCACGCGCCACCCAGTGTCCCCGGACGGGAGGAAGCGGGAAGGCGCTGGCTGGAAGGGACCGGCCCAGGGAACAAACACTCCTCTGCCCCGCCCCCGCCGGCACTTTCCTCCCTCCCGCCAGGCTCCCGCCCCGCCCGCCTCTCTCGGAAGACTTGGAGGCCAAGGCCGCGAGAGGCCCAGGCTTGGCTGGACGGGGTGGGGCCCGGCCGAGCTGCGGGCCGCCTCGGAGCCCGAGCGGCGGCTTTGCGCTGGGCTGCGCGCCGCGTGCGCCGAGAGCGCTGTGTTCGCGGTGAGGTCGTGGAGGGCTAGCGGTTAATGATTTAACCACACGCTTTGGGCGGGTGATAGGATCGGGGTCTCTGGCTCCGCCCCTCGGAGCGCCCCCAGCTGGAGTTACAAAAGCGCCCCCTGGCCCGGTGCCTCCCTGGAACAGCCCTGCTCGCTAGGGATCCCGGTCATCCGCGGGTGAGTGCCCGGGCCGGGAGGCGTTGGGCGGGAGCCGGTGCTGGAGGGTTCAGCCAGGTTCGGCTTCCTGGGAGAATACTGACGTGTACGTGTACGTGTGTGTGTGTGTGTGTGTGTGTGTGTGTGTGTCTCTGTGTACGCGCGAGCGTGTGCGTGTATTAGATACTGGGGGAGGGGGGTGTTTGCGCTCCACTAACTCAAACCAGGTTCCTAGTGTTTGTCAGATGAGATTCTGCGGTCTAGGCTTTGGAAGTTTTCTCTTTTTTTTTTCCCAGGGAGAATGGAGGGGAAATACAAAGCTTTCTCTTTTCTTGTTGCCTGGGAACTTCTCGCCCTCCATCGCCCCATCACTTGCGAGCTGCCCGGCGCCCACCTCCTAGCAGGGCCCACAGATCCGTTCTTTGCCAGGTAGCGGTGTATCTGAATTGGAAGAAAAAATCCTTGAGGGAAGGGGTCCCTCTGCTCTCCCTTGAGGCGATAGTGTGCTCGAGGAGACCGTTCTCCTCTGTCCTTCGATGGGGGCTGCAAACACCGAGGGCCCTGCCTCGGGGCTCCTGCAGCACACCGACCAGGCGCTGTCTGGGTTTCTAACAACTCCGCAGCAGCCCCCGCCCCCTTTCGGAGTCTGGGCTGGAGGAGGGGACCACCAGCAGGATGGACTGAATTTTGAGAGAACAAAGAACAGGGCACAAAGGAAGGGGGAATTGAGCTGTGGGTTTCTGAAATAGGGGTTTGCTGGAGCAGAGCCAGGGCAGCCCCAAGGCCCCAGAGCGATGACGGGGTCGTCCACCGGGACCCTTTGAGGCGTAGTCCCTGGTGAGTGGCCGGGGCCTGCCTGAGAGTAGGGTGCTGTGTTGTTTCTTTGCTCACCGGTTGTCCTGTGTGAGCTGCCTGTGGCTGATTTGTGTGGTGTATTCCCCTCAGACTTGGACCTTGCTCTGCCGCTGCTGGGGAGACCTATTCGTTCCCACAATCGGGAACCTTGCTTGGGGAACTCTGCCCAGGGAGCTTGGTGATCCCTGAAGGGACCACGGGTGCCTGTGTGACAAAGTGAGCCTGCCCCAAGCGGTGGAGCTTCTGAAGTGTCTTGGCTCCTCCAACATCTCCGGGATTTCTTGGGTCCCTCTTATTGAGGGACCCATTGCTTATGTTCAGCTGTGTGGCTCAAGCCTCTGCTACCATATTGTGTGGTTTCTGCCTTCCTCTGTTTAAACTTTTGTTCTTTCCCCCAGAATTTCTCTTAGAACCCTCCTCCCCCATCCATACTGGCCCTAATTGGTGTACATACTCAATTTATTTCTGTTCAGGGAGCTGAGGCCCCAGCCTGGAGATCAGGAAGTTGCGATCAAGCCAGGAGCTCTGGTGCCCTCTATAAAGCAGAAGGTTGGTTGGGCAGATATGGACCTGGTAGAAGAGTTTTAGACCCTTCTTTACAAGTCAGCACTTTTTGTAGTGGCCCATACCTGTAATTTCAACATTCAGGAGGCTGAGGCAGGAGGATTGCAAGTTTGAGGCCAGTGTAGACTACATAGACCCTGAAAAAAAAAAAAAAACCCTCAGGTGTTTTCACAAAAGCCTTTTAGTTCTGGCTTAGGAACTCTAGTTCCCTTCACCTTTGGAGTGACTGATTGATTTCTGTGCCCAGGACAGGCTGTGCCCAGCCCGGCAGTCCAGGTGTTTGATACTGGTTTCTCCCTTTCTTCTGCTCTTAAAATCTTTCCCAGTTCACCCCCGTCCATCTAGATTGGGGTTTGGGTAAAGGGGTCCAGAGTCAGTGTCACGAGGGCTGTCAGGTAGCAACCCCAGCCTGTCCTGTGGAAGTCCCACAGACTTCGAGGCTCTTATCCCTGTGGGGGAGGGAAGGAGTCTGTCCCTTGGAGGAACAGGGGAGCTGGGTTGATGCCAGAGATAGGGCGGGTGGGTGGAGAGAGGTTGCGCAATCTCTGGGAGCTCAGAGGGCTGACCTGAGCCCAGCAACGCAGGCTTCCTTTGACCTTGGGGAAAAGAAAATCAAAGTCTTGTGCCTGGCGACATTCAGGAGGTGGTCCGCTGGAATGTCCTCACCACCAGCCTCAGCCAGTACCCTACTGTCCTTCTAGAGAGTCCTCAGAAGGCTGTCCCTGTGCCAGCACTCTCTGGGCAGAGACCTGGACAGTAGTGTAGCCAGGGACTCCAGATTATGGCTGGACATAGCCCTCTCTTTCTTGTAGGGCACCGGGAGGAAGTTTAGCATTTAGCACCCCACTTTCCCACTCCTGGCTTAAAACATGCTTCCCCGAGGCACTCTGGGCTTCCTGCCAGCGGAGGAACACCTGCATTTCCCACAGGCTTGCAGCTCCAGCCACATGCCAGGGGGCAGTGCTGGCGTCCACGGCCAGCCCTTCTTGGCCTGGAGCAAGGGAACAGGTGGTCTGTACTCCACCTCTCAAGCTGAAGTAGCTCTCTTTGGGGCTTGGGGCTGAGCATTTTGGGGTCTGCCATGAAGGCACGCCTGGTATTTCCCTTCCTTCCATCTTCCAGGGCTGACAACATCTGGAAAGCCACAGTGCCAGGGCCAAAGGACCCCTGGGCGTGGTGATGATACATAGCCACAGCCTCTTCAGTTACCACCCTGTGCTTCAGCCATCATGGTGGCAGATAAGGTTGCCCTCAGCAGGGGCCAGCTCCCTGAGGGTCTCCAGGTTCTCCCTGTGCTCAGTCATTGAACTTGGGACCCCAGCTGGAGACCCCAGCTTTGAAGCTCCCCCAAAGTGACAATGAGGCCAAGTTTTATCCTCTAGCTTTTCTTTCCCGGCCCTTTCTCTGCCCTGTAAGCTTCTATCCTCTGGTCCCCACTCACTACCTTTCCTTAGAGTGTTGCCCCTAGTCCCCAAGATTGAGAGAGGGGCCTGCCGACCCCTGGGTGGAGCTTGAGGCCAACTGAAATGGTGGAGCAGGACAAAGTCCAGGGGGCTGCAAGGGAACCCAGGAGCCAGTGGTAGTGGAGTAGGTGCATCCTGCCTGGGAGAGTCCGGGTAGGTACAAGGATATGGTGTATTCTCCTGGGGTTGGTCAGGTTGAAGCTCTGTGTATCATTCACAGCTGGGAGCTACTCTGTACCCCGGAGAGTAAGGAGGTTTCTCTTTTCCCACCTCAAGCTCACCGAAGGAGCAGGCAGGCAAGCTTTGCCCTCCTGAGCCACAAGAGGTAATAAAAGGTAAAGAAGGATCAAGGGAACAGCCCGAAAGCCCAAGAGTGTTTGCCCCTTCCTGTAATCCCAGCTGCTAGGCAGGAGGATTGCAAGTTTGAGGCCAACCTGAGCAATTTAGTGAGTTAGAAAAATTAAAGAAAAGAAAAAGAGCAGTTGAGCCCGGGGCTGTCTGAACTTAACTGCCAACAGGACCGCGGAGAGAGGACAGAATCTATAACTGGGCTTCAGAGGCTTAAAAGGACACTTTCCCCTGCCATGGGCAATCTAGGGACCCCCAGGATTTGGGAAGGGGTCACCCCACGCCATATCTGGAGCCTTTGGATTGAGTGTCCCTGGCTGTGTGCCTTGGACTGCTGCTTGTTCTGTTTGAAGTTAGAGGAGTGACGGAAAGTGTTGCTAGCTATGCTGGGAGTCCCCCCCTCCGCCCCCAGCCCCCGAATCTGGGGACCTGCTGAGAGCATCATCCTCACAGCGCGTGTGGAGTGGTGTGGAGTGGTATGCTGCGTGCTCTACCTCCCCTCGCATATTTGATCCTCACAGCAATGTCATCAGTCACTTTGAAAGTGGAGGAGGACTCTGAGGTATAACGTACCTGGTGTGGCAGACCGGCTTGGGACCCAGGGAGTCTGGCTTTTACACTCAGGCTCTAGAATGATCTGAGTGGAAGATCTGGCTTGCTCCAGAGACCCCGTGTCCCTGTGCTCTCTCTCTCTACTTCTTGGCAAAGTGAAACCGAACGAGACCTGGAAGATCTGATTTCAAACGTGGTTGCTTCCTCCTAAGACCAGGCAGCAGGAGGGAGGAGCCCTGGTGTCCAGCCTCGGGACACTCCCAGTGAAGGAGAGCTGTCCTCAGGGCCTGTCTGGCCCAGCCCCCAGCCAGGCACTCTTCCTGCCCTCTGATTGTGGCTTGCTCTGTGTTAGGCTCCGGGAAGCACACATTTCCAGGAAGGACCCCATAAGTAAGCAAAGCTGCCGGATGTCCCTGAGTCACTGGCTGTGCGTCTTCTGGACTCCTCGGTGGGTTGACCTTTCCGGTCACTTCCAGGCCTTGGCTCTATTCCCTTCCTTTTCTGACCTATCCACGTTCTAGGTGGTAGGTGAGGGCAGCTTTCTCCTTTGCACTCCTGCTCACTTCCTTCCTTGGGCTAAGGCCAAGATGGTTCTGGGATACACATGGAGGCAGACCCAGAGGCAAGGGTTGCCCCCTGGAGGTCCATGCCTCCCAGGATTAAACTGTACTTGGGGAAGAAACGGGTGCCCAGGGTAGGGGGATGTTAGCTAGAAATTATGTGGAAAACTGTGTACCTGCTGTGGGCTTTCATGCCGTCATAGCTGTCAGTAAATCTCCAGGGCCATTCCCAATGGTACCTCAGTATTCTTACACGCTGGAGTGAAAACATCTGAATTCAGAATCTGGCAAGTCTGGATTCTTCTTTCAGCTCCATCTTGACCAACTATGTGACCCAGTTGAATGATTTATCCCTCTAAGATGCCATTTTCTTATCTGCTGGGTGGGAGTCATGATTGTATTCCATGGGATTGCTGGGAAGAATACGAGAGATAAAACCTTTCAAATGCTTAAGACAGTGTATTACAACAGAAGGCAGCTTAATCAGAGTCCAGCATCTTAACACAATGCTTCGTACTGGGAGAAGCTCAGTGGCCGTTCTTTTTCATGCTTCCTGCATGACCTATGGCCCGGAGACGCTTGTACGTTGGTGCAGGGCTCCTTGAGGTTGACCTGCTCCATTTCCAACCTGGGCTGGTTCACCCCTCCTTTGGCAACCTGATGGTCCCCTGCTCCCTGGTCACCATATAGATGCCAAACTTAGTGCAGACACCCGATCAGCATAGCGCACTGCAGCCTAGAACTCCTGGACTCAAGCAATCCTCCCACCTCAGCCTCCCGAGCAGCTGGGACTACAGGCACGCGCCACTGCGCCCAGCTCCCTGAGGTTGAGCAGCATCTAGGATAACATTCCTGGAGTAGCTTCCCTGGCACCAACAGCCTTATCTGTCAGGATTCAAGTTAAGAGATGGTCACTCCCGAGCTCCGCTAAATCTAGTTTATTCTCTTGTTTGAACCGCACAGGAAGCCTGGTGTGCCCACACCTGCAATCCCAGTACCAGGGAGGCTGATGCAGGAGGATTACCATGTGTTCATGGCCAGTTTGGACTACACAGTGAGACCCTGTCAAAAAAACAAACAAAAAAAT